CCTCGAACCTACGTGAACAATAGTAGTTGCTCTCACAAACAACAATCCACTACAAGTGTTAGGCAACCATCTCACCCCCATTGCGATAGACTAACCTCTAACACTCTACGGCAGCTCTCGAAGGCAATTCAAGTCCATCACATCCAAACCATACAAGAGATGAAACCGCAATATTCTCAACAACCACAATCTTAACCAATCACAATTTTCATTAACAATTCAAGTATCACAATTTTACAATTCTCAATATACTACAATAATAAAAAATTTAAAAATATGCAAGAGATCATATCAAGAAAACCTTCTCAATTTCGATATTCAAAATTCTAGGGTTTTGCCAAAAATCGTAATTTCTCAGAACAAGAATAATAGTTGATTGAAAACATAATTTAATCAAGAATATGAATTTATAAATCAAGAATCCATATGAATTTCACAATAAAACATGTATCTTGAAAAAAAACTAGGTTTTCAGAAATTCAAGAACAATTATTCTTGAACCCAAACATGTATTTTGTTAAAAACTAAGTTTCAATGATAAAGAAATCAAGAATCCATGAGTATTTATCACATAACTACGAAGAAGATTTAAAACATACATATATAATACCCTAAGTCTCAATGAAAGAACTTGAGAAGAATCTCCTACCTTGATTTCGTAGTTTGTGTGTAAACCTAACGTGTTTGATTAGTTTCAAATGTGAGAATCCCCATTCAATCTTATGTTTCTCTTCTTCCCTCTTGCTCTCTAAGGTTGTCTAGGGTTGAAAAGTAATGACACATGGCTAAACGGACATTCTTATGGTATTCATTGGGTGAAAAATGTAGAAAAACCCTAAAACTAAGCAGGGCCATTTTTAACGTAGCGTCCGAACGGTCCTTGGGCGTCCGGATGGTTCAAAGTCACCGTTTTTGATGAAAAATAAAGTTTTTTTTGGGTAAGGAGTACCATTTGGACGGTGCTTGGAGTGTCCGAACGGTGGTAACATTTTGTCCCAACTTATGGAGCAATTTTCACCTATTCAGAAGTCGATTCAGGAAATTTAAACACTTTTGTAACCCTTGAAGTCTAGTTTTTATTTNTTATGGAGCAATTTTCACCTATTCAGAAGTCGATTCAGGAAATTTAAACACTTTTGTAACCCTTGAAGTCTAGTTTTTATTTTCTAAATATTACCCCAAGAGGAGTTCTGGTTAAAAATTTATGACTAAAACATTAAGATAGTGTCAAATTCTTTCCTACCCAAATACTTTCTAAAGTCTAATACACCACATATTACCTCTCTCAAGGTTTCTTGATCTTCCGGATTCAATGGAAGCATTATTTTGACTTAAAAACATTTAGAAACTTACATAATCACCCTTCTGAAACTTACACACGTTCAAAACTAAGTTTGATCCAAAAGTCAATTCGTTCGTAACTTAAACTCCATGATCAATCTTTCAACATTGATTCTAAGTCTCTACCATTATTTTATTCATATTAGGAGAACTCTTAAGATAATAGTATCCTTATTTAATTTTAATACGGGGTCATACAAAGGTAGTGAAGTGGTGGTTGAAGTGAAATCGCCAAAGACTGGGACAAAAAATGAGATAGAGTTCGCGAGATGGAACTCAAAAGGCTTGAATGTGATATTCAATGTATGACACCAAATGAGTTCCAGAGGATCGCTAATTGTAAGAATACTAAAGAAGCATGAAACATCTTGGTTGCTTCCCATGAAGGAACTTCCAAAGTGAATATGTCTAGACTCCAAAGGTACACCTCTCATTTCAAGACTTTGAGAATGGAAGATGATGAAACATTTAGTGATTTTTATTCCATGTTATGCGATATTGTTAATTCTTCCTTTACAATAGGTACCAAGATTGATGATGCCACCATTAAGTGAATAATTTTGAGGTCTATACATGAAAGATTTCATGCAAAGGTGACCTCGATTGAGATGAGTGTCAACATGGCCACGGTATCGGTAGAAGACCTAGTAAGGTGAAATTTGACCTTTGAGATGAAACTTCTTCTACCTAAGAAAGTGATGGGTGTAGCTTTAAAGTTGAAGATTGAAGAAGAGGGTAAATTCGAGTCAACCTATCTAGGAGAAGAGGGCGTAGTCTATTTTGCACACAAGTTTAAAAGGTTTATAAAGACTAATGAAGTCAAGTCCTTGATGTCGAAAGAAAGTCCAACTAGAACTATGTCTCTTAAAAAACGAAAGAAAAGTGGGGAAAAAACTTATCGACACAAGGTTGAGAAGAAAGGTCAAGGACTCCATTACTATGAGTGTCATGGGTTTGGACACATAGCTACAGAATGTCCTAATGAAAAGAAGAAGGATATGCCTAAGGATAGGAGGGGAGCCTTGAAGGCCAAGGTGAGCGAAAGTGAGTTCACAACGACTATAGACTCCTCCTCTTCAAGTGATGAGAGAATTTCACGGCCTCTGTAGGTTCACACTCCTCTCGCCCTTCCCTACGAGAAACTTACAATGAAGAAAATGAAGTTGAGTTGAGTCCCACTACGAATATAGATGACTTAGAAGTTGAAGTCTCTACCAGTGAGAATGACACCGAGAATGTTGAGGACCTCCAAGAAGCTTACAATCAATTATGTGAGGAGTGTGTAAAACAAGGTGAAAAGTTCCTTTCATTGAGCACGAGGCTCAAATGAGTGAAGATGAAAATAAACCACTTAATGTGGATTTAGTTAAGTCCAAGACTCATATTATTGTGCTTGAGGAGGAGAAGAAGTCCCTTCATGACAAGGTGAGCTTTCTTGAGAGAAAGCACAAAGGGCTTTTAGAGTCTATGAAAGGTCTCAAGTTTAAACTTACCAAACTTATAGAGACCTACATAAATTACAAGAACTCTAGAAAAGACTTTTCCAATGCACTAAAAAGCTTGACAAAATAATGGCTATAGGGAAAAGTGTTGGTGACGAAAGGATCAGGATTCACTAATGAACACAACACCTCCACTTCTTCCAAGACTGTGTTTGTGTAGGGTAAACCTAACCCATCACCCCCACAAGAAAGCACAAGTCCTAAAAAAACTAATAATGGTAAAGGTAAGCATGAAAAGAAGCCGGTTAAAAAGAAAATCCAAACCAAATCATTTGTGTGCTTTACTTGTAGAGAGTATGGTCACTATAGTGCACATTGCATTCATAATAGGAAAGTATTAGATAAAAAGCTCATGCATCTAGCCAATCAATATAAAACATTGAACAATCAAGTTGTTAATCTTTCCAAGATTTTAGAAAGGTCAAGTGAGTTTAAGCATGGACATGCATCATCATCATCATATAAACCACATGTAGAGTGCATAAAGCTCCTTCTACCCCTAAGGTCAAAATTTATATACACATTTCCTAGAAGAAGAGTTAGTTCTCCACCCATTCCCTGACCTAACCTGAGTTTTAGGCCATGAGTGCTTCTAACAAGGTCATGGCTCCTAAGAAGTAGGAGAGGTAAGAGTATGGACCTAGGTGCTCATTAATGTATTTCATTAAACACCCTAGGGTCATACATTGTATACATTTTTCTTTGTATTTTCTATATGTGAAAACACAAAAACAATGGAAAATGAAAAATCCAAAACAAAGAAAAAGAAATTGAAAATCCAAAAAGAGTTTTGATGTCAATTTTGACATTTATTTTTATGATTTATGGTAATTGCTTGTATTTTCTTTGTTTTAGTGAATGCTTATGCATATTTTTCTTGTATATTTATTTGAAAAATACAAAAACATACCCAAGGGAGCNACATTTATTTTTATGATTTATGGTAATTGCTTGTATATTCTTTGTTTTAGTGAATGCTTATGCATATTTTTCTTGTATATTTATTTGAAAAATACAAAAAAATACCCAAGGGAGCTATTCATGTTCAAGCAAATTTTAATAATACCATTGCGACTGTTACAAATGTAAGAGGTCAAGTGGTTTCTTGGTCCTCAATCGGTACTTGTGGATTCAGGGGTACAAGAAAAGGGACACCGTTTACTGCTCACACCACAACAGGGAATGCTATTCGTGCAGTAGTGGATCAAGGTATGTAATGAGTAGAAGTCAAGATAAAAAACCCCAATCTCGGAAGAGGCGCAACATTATGAGCTATTCGTAGAAGTGATATACTATTAAATTTCGTAGAGGGCGTAACCCCTATGCCATATAATGGCTATGGACCTCCTAAAAAAGACGCATGTAGAAAGAAACATTGAAGAGATTTCAAGAGTTATTCAATGATTTGATCAAATAATATTACTACGGTTGGAGAGAAAGTAACAATATCTACTCAGACCTTACAATGGAAGTGTGTTGAATCAAGAGTGGACAATAAGCATCTTCATTATGGATGTTTTATTGTGTCGCCACTTATGAAAGATCAAGCTGAAACAGTAAGGTCCTCCCCAGTCACCCAAACTTGTTTTTCCTTTCTAAAACTTGAGTTAGGTCAAGAAATGGGTGGAGGACTGACTCTCTTCGCCCCTAATGTATGTAGATTAATTTTGACCTTCGGAGTTGAAGAAGCCTTGTGTACTCTAGCCTTTGGTCCATTAGATGATCATGCAATACTATGCTTGGACTCCTGTGACCTCTGTACAAGCTTGGAGAAACTAACAACTTGATTGTTCAAAGCCTTAGATTGGCTAGATTGATGCATGATCTTTTTATTCAAGACTTCCCTATTGTGAACGAAATGTGCACTATAATGACCATGCTCACCACAAGTAAAACACACAAAAGATTTGGTTTGGGTTTTCTTCTTAACTAGCTTGTTTTCAAGTTTACCCTTACCATTATAAGTCTTTTTGGGACTTTGTTCTTACTCATGGGGGTGATGGGTTGGGATTACCCTTCACAAACACGATGTTTGGAAGAAGTGAAAGTGTTGTGCTTGCTTGTGAATCCTAATCCTCTCTTGTCACCAACACTTTTTCCTATAGCCAACTTTTTCTCAATCTTTTCGGTGCTTTGGGAAAGTCTTTTTGAGAGTTCTTATGATTCATGTAGGTCTCTATCAAGTTTGATAAGTTTAAATTCAAGACCTTTCTTAGACTCTAAAAGCCCATTATGCTCTTCCTCAAGGAAGCTCACCTTGTCATGGAGAGACTTCTCGTCCTCCTCAAACCCAAAAATATGAGCTTTGGACTTAACTAAGTCCACATGAAGTGCTTTCTTTTCGTCTTCATTTGTTTTGAGTCTTGTGTTCAATGAAAGCAACTTCTCTCCTTGTTTTAAACACCCCTTGTATAACTCGTTATAAGCATATTGGAGGTTCTTAACAATCTCAGTCTCATCCTCACTAGTAGATACTTCTACAAATTCTTCGAAGTTTCTTTGGGGGGGGGGAATTTGATCCTATAAAGGTTGTGAAGTTTTCTTCATCAATTGACGAAGAGGAGTCAACACTTGTTATAGACTCACTTTCACTCACCTTAACCTTTAAGGGTCTCTTCCTATCTTGGGCTTATCCTTCTTTTTACTAGGACATTCCGTAGCTATACGTCCAAACCCATGACATTCATAGCATTGAAGACATTGCCCCTTCTTCTCAACCTCATGTCAAGAAGGTGTACCCCTACTTTCTTTTCCCTTTCTAGGAGACTTGGATCTAGTTGGATTTCCTTTTGACTTAGAGGACTTGACACCACTAGCCTTAAAATATTTGTTGAATTTTCTCACAAAATAGACTATGTCCTTTTCTCCTAACCGGGGTGACTTAGGATTTACCCCCTTTTTCAATTTTAGAATTTAACATTGTTGGAGTTATAGTCTAATTTATTAGGATTTTCCTTTTTCCATTTTTACCCTTACTATGAGTCTATTACTTTTATGTCTTGCCTAGACCAGAGGGTTTTTTCGATTTTTTTATTTTATTGTTTGGCTATATATACGGAGCTCTATACTTAGTTTGTATCCTTTTTCACTTACAGATATCTCAAGTTGGTATCAAAGTGAGACCTTACCTCTAACCCTAACCTTAGCCTCCACCAAAATTAGCAGCTTCAGCAGTCTAGCAACCCACCAACAACCACTACCCAGCCACCAGCAAAATTAGCGACAGTTTACCAATACACACTGCCAACAATCCAACAGCAGCCCACAAACCAACTAACCACTACAACAACTACAATAAACTAAACACTAAGAAAAATACCCCTGCCCACCAAACCCAAGCCATAAAACATAAAACTCATACTGCCACAAACCCACCAATCCCACAAGCCAACAGACATACTGCCACACACCCACCCAGCAACAAATCCATCAACAACATAAACCAACCCAAAAACCAGCGACAAACCCACCTAGCAACAAACCCAGCGATGGAGTGACAATACCCTAACATGAATTGAAACTCGAATGGTATCTCCAAATACTATTATTTTTTATTTAAATAATTTTAAACATACACATAAACACCCATTTTCTTCCTCACCCCTTTTTTTATCCCTCTCTCGCACACAACAAAGCACACACACACAAACTGAGCAATGCCCCTCTCTGTAGAAACAGACACACAACACACACGTTGGAATCCTTCAATTTTTGAGTTTTACTCTAGTAACTAGTATATATGGCTCCTACACTAGATAGATAACTTTCTTTTACTTCTTATCTGATCATCTTCTTATATTTTTATAATTAGGAATAAAATTTTCGGTAAGGCCATGAAAATATGAGTTATAGTGTGTTGTATATAACTTTTCGTGTTATTCATTTGAAGCCTCTAAGGAATCTTAAAGGAAGGTTGTTAAAAGATATTCTGTCTCAAACACAATCATCAGTCCACTTTTTAATAACAATAATGGTTCAACCTATGGTTTCAATTTCTTTGTTGTTTTGTTGTGTTGGACTACCTCTAATAGGCTGCAACAAAAAAACATTGGATTCTAGTCAAGCGATAGAAATAGCTATATAATATATGGCATATCTCAAGTTTTGTTTCTATGATAATTAGTTACCTTTTTTAATAACACGATGGCTTGTTGTTTGTGGATATTATAAGTCTTTGCATTTTGTACTTGTAGGATTTTTTGTTTGTTGGCTGCTGGTTTCAACTACTTATTCACTGTTGCTCCCTTCTTGTATTACATATTTTCATTTATTAATAAAATCATTTGTGTTTCCTATCAAAAAAAAAAGGTAATAATGAGTCATTTTAGAAAGTATAGGTTATAGGTTTATTCGTGCTTGTTACACTTAAGGTGGAAGAATCACCAGTGGTGCACATATATGTACATGGAGTCTACATTATTAGGTGAAAGCTCCTTATCAAACATTTGTTTATAGTTAAGTTCGATTTTCCAACTACTCATCAGCCGTTGCTTAAGGATTATCTTTGAAAGATAAACAAGGAGCTTTCCAGTGTTCAACTTGGGTTGCGGGCATGTGGAGCGCAATACAATGGCGATGTATATTATGGCATTATCAATAATGTTGCCGATGAGCAGTCCAAGCTTGGAACAAAATGTACGGTTCCTCAAATTTCATTTTATAAAGGCATTGTAAGTTTCAGCTCACTTTTTTATTATTTTGACTTTTTTACCATCCTTAAAAGCTTTGTTAGTTTACGGTGTTCAGTTGATACTTTCAACATAATTGAAGAAAAAACATAGGAAGAGAATTATGGAAAAGGACTTAGATCTTGTGATCCTTGCTCCATGCATACTTCAAGAAGTAGAATAGGAAATCATAGATGTGTATTCAAAAAAGATCCAAAACAAGTTTTTGAAGATAATCTAGAAGTAAGGGAATAAGAATTTATCAAAGTAGCAAGTAGCAACAATGATTTAGTCAAATTACACATGAATATCTAGTTAGAGCACTGTTGTGTGTGTGTGTGTGAGGAGTCACTTAGCCCCTTTCTTTCGTTTAGTAAGAAGTAAGATAGGCTGCCCCTTTACCCTTCTTTGAGAACCAAGCTGAAACTTGACCCCTAGTCCTTTCAAGCGAGGACACATTGCTTGCTCTTTCTCCTTAGTTCGGATTGCCTATTTTTGCGCTGAGAGAGATGGGGTTTGTTGGGTTTGGGTGTGTGTGCTTCTTTTGTATGTGTGTATTGGTGTGGGGGGGGGGAGTGTTTGGATGTAAAAGTGGTAAATAATGACTTACATGTCCTTAATAACAGTCACATGTCTTACACATGACCATTTTTCATTACCAATTTAAATGACAGTTATTGCAAGAGACTGTATTGGTCCAATATGTTAACTTTGAAGACTAAATTGACGAAATTAAAAACATTAGAAACTAAAGTTCAACTAATGAAAAACCTCAGGGACTATTGGTACAATTTTTTTCCCATTTTTTGGTAGGAACAGTATCAAATGGTTTAAATGAGTAAAATAGTTCTTTTCCTCATAGCACCAAATCATAAAGATGAACACTCACACCCCCTTTTTACTTTGCAAAAACGTATATGAAAAATCATAAAGAGGAAAGCTGCTATGGGGGGCTCTCCATATGTGTCTTGATGAGCTCTCTATGAAATGTACATGGTGTGGGAAAAAAATTAGTTAACACCATGGGTAAGGCTCGAACGAAAGCAGCCCGTTATACAAGTTACCGTTAGGAAGTCTACCAATCTCCGGCCTATATATGTAAAGCTCTGAGCTATGCCAACTCTGGTAATCAGCTCCCCCCCCCCCCACCCAAATGACTAACTCTAGCATAAGGACCGAAAGATAAGATTATCAATTATTCAAAAATCAAAAGACTCCTTAGCCGAATTAGAAGCCTTTATTTGGAGAGAAAATGGTTTAGACCTCTCATCCCAAAGGAGTCTTAATCTCCTTCATATAAAAAGAGTATGTTCTACCTTAAGGAGTTGTTTGTTACAAGGGTTTGGGCGGGTTATAGAAGGTGGGTTTAAAAAAATAGTCCAATCCCTCACCCAAACCCTTGTTTGGATGCAAACATTGAAGGTTGGATTGAAGTCCTGGCCTTAACTTGGCCCGGACCTGGCATGCTTCTTAAACCCATGAAAGTGGGTTTCACCAATCCCAGGGGGGGTGTGGGTTTCAAAGGGCCAAACTGGTTTGGAATTGAAGATTACATTTGTACCCCCTTAAACCCATTTCTTGTCAATCCTATTCAAATATGAATATGCTAACACTTGTTGGTTTATTAGCACAAGCATTAGAGCTTTGTGAATGCGAGACAGAGCATGATTCCATTTTTGGGGCATCATTACGCTTTGTCATTTAAAAAAAGTAATTTTATTGCTCTTTATTATGGTTATGAATAATAGTTATATTTTATCAACATTCATGATTTTTTTCATAAGTTAGGAAAAATAAATAAATCATATATTTAATCCATAAGGACACAATACATGTACGTAAACAAACATGAGTTTGGATTAAATTGGTTAAGGGGTAAAATAGTCATTTAAATATAAATATATTATCATAATAGTCATATGTCTCTGCGCATACCAAACATGAGTATGAACAATATTAAATCTTGAATCCTATCTTTGAGTTTGAAAGGGTTTGGACAAGTCAATCCAAACCCCTCCCAAAAAACATACTAAACAAGCCCTAAAGGTTTACTAAGGAGTCTAGACTCTAATGATAAAAGGAGTCTAACATCTCCACAATGGATAAGGGAGCCTAGAGTGCACTCTCCCAGGGAAATCAATTTTCAAACTATAAAAAGAGCTCAGGGGGAATATAAAAGGTAGGTAACTCTGACCCCAATTATCTTTCTTTAACTTTCATCAAATTACTAACTTAAGCATCAGAGAGCCGACTGCCAAAGCTCCTCCTTTCCTTTTTCAAATACTTGTAGNCCTAGTCCTTTCAAGCGAGGACACATTGCTTGCTCTTTCTCCTCAGTTCGGATTGCCTATTTTTGCGCTGAGAGAGATGGGGTTTGCTGGGTTTGGGTGTGTGTGCTTCTTTTGTATGTGTGTGTTGGTGTGGGGGGGGGAGTGTTTGGATGTAAAAGTGGTAAATNGATTTATAGAGCTAAGAGAAATGATTTGGAAAATCTAGCCTGGATATCAGAAAGCTAACTTGGAAGTAAGCAGAGTTTAACCAAGTTTACGCGGAGTTTGGGGCAAATTTTGCACCAACAGTTTGAGATTACCTATGGGAAGCGACTAGAAATTTTCTGTGTTCTCACAATTTGCCCAAAATAAAATCCTTGAATATGACTATCAAATCAATGGACACCACCAGAGACAACCTTCCTAGGGAACAACATTTGTAGGAATTGGCCGTAGGGAATAATCATGACGGAGATCCCCCTCAAGCCAACAAATGACAAGAGACTTAGAGAACGCTTAACCTATAGAGGAATTATAATAGAATGAATCATACCTTACAAGGTTTGGCCCAACAAACTCAACAAATTTTCTAAATGCTTGTTGTCTAGTCTTTTCAATATGTCTCCCATTCAAGAAAGACAAAGCTTAATCAAGTAAGACACACAAGAGACGAGCACAACCATAACAATACTCATTGCCAACAGAAGGAGAACAACTCCCTGGATTGAAAGTTCATGGAGGTGAATGATCATATCTGAGACGTACTCAACACAATAAAAACCAAGCCTCTTGAGATTGTGGAGACCTTGATTCAGCACTTGAAGTCCCATTGTTCACATTATGTTACACATTACCCTTTGCCCCCAAATTTCAAGTTGTCTGCAATAGACAGCTTTGATAGAAAGAAGTATTCTTTGGACCATGTGGACACTTATAAGGCTCTCATGTTGCTTTACAACATCTCAGACCAGATCATGTGACATGTTTTCTCCACAACTCTTAAAGGGGCGGCTCAACTTTGGTTCAACATGCTCTTCCTACGATTCATCAAATCCTTCATTGAATTGAATAAGTCTTTCCTTTCTCATTTTATTGGGGGACAAACTCACAAAAAGGAAGCAACCTACTTGCTAAACCTCAAGCAGGGAAAGGAAAATCACTACGAGAACATATAGCACACTTTATTGAGAAATCATTACAAATTGACCGTGTAGATGGTAAGGTGGCCTTGACTGCCCTTAATGGAAGGATTGTAAATCTCTAGGTCCTATTTTGATTATCTAAGGCTCCCTTTACAAGTATGACGAAGATCCTTTCCAGAGCTTAGATCCATATAAATGCGGAGGATGCCATGAATGCCAAAAAAGGAGGATAAGATCTCTTTATAGAAGAGAAAAGAAAGGATCAAAAAAAGCTAGATAAGGCCGCAACCTTAAAAAATAAAAAACTGGGACTGGGTGCTAGCAAGGTAAAGACTAGGGCCTCACTTCCCACCAGGCAAGTTTTAGTGGAATTGGTCCTTTTTCAAGTATAAGATGAACATCCTGAAATGGCTTGGAAAATTAAGAACACCTCCTTATAAAAAAGTGAGAGACAAGTATTGTCGATTTTATCAAGCCCATAGGCATGAAACAAAGGATTGTATCACCCTA